TGTTTTTAGCACTGGCGATCGATGGCACACCCCAGATGAGCCTGATATTTCACCGCCAGACACCATATTCTGGCCAGCTCGAACGACTGGACCTCAAATTATTCAAACAGATTCCTACAGTCATCTGGAGTTGTTCCAACTCTTTTTTTTGTTTTTCCCTCCCCAGTTTGTCAAACAATCATCCGGAATTCTAACACCTATGCTGCTGAGCACCTGATGACAGCAAGAAGGCCAAGGCAGGACATGTCCCTGAAGGACCTTTTTTCCTTTATCTCAGTTGTCATCTATATGGGTCTGGTGAAGTTACCATCAGTGGCAGACTACTGGAGTGGGTCAAGACTCTATAGTGTTGGCTTCCCAGCCTCCGTCATGTCCTGCAGGAAATTTCCCACTATCTCCTCAGCACTTCACCTTAGCGATCCTAAGGTGGATGCTGAGAATGCGAAGAAAAAAAGGTTTGATTTTACATGGGCGATCAAAGGCAGGGGATCCTATGTATGACCAGAGTCGGATGGCTGCAAAAACTTTTATCACCCGCATCAGAACATTGCCGTTGATGAAAGAATGGTGGCATCAAAGGCAAGGATTAGTTTCAAGCAGTACCAGAAGGACAAACCTACAAAGTGGGGATACAAGCTTTTTGTCCTTGCGGACTCCCTGAATGCATATACATGGGATTTTTTCATTTATGAAGGGAAATCCCCAGTAGCTCAGAGTCAGCAAGGCAAGGGCCTGAGCTACGAATCTGTCATGGCTCTGGTGGATGAAAAGTTATTGGGGTCTGGCTACAAATTGTATGTTGACAACTTCTACACCAGCCCCATGCTCTTCAGGGACCTTTGCAAAAAAAACATCTGGGCTTGTGGGACCATCAGGAGCAACCGGGTGGGCTTCACAAAAACCACCATTAACAGGCTGCCTAAAAATTCTCGGGGAAGCATGAGGTGGAAGAGGGACGACCAGATTCTCTTCATTGAGTGGAAGGACACGAGAGGTATCGATGTGCTCCTCATTCCACTCAGCGAATGAAGGTCAGACTGTCCAGAGGAGGGTGAAGATGGGAGAATGGACCATAATGACCATTCCAATTCCTTCAGTAGTTTTAGACTACAACGAGTAAAATTTTTTTTTTTCAGTGGGTCATGCAGAAATTGTGCAGATGTGTTTGTATTTTATGTATTGACGGTTTGCTCTCTACACAGGAACATGGGAGGAGTTGATATGTCAGATGCCCGGAGCTCGCTGATTGGTCGCCTCCTCTTGATGTTCCTGCTGCTCCTGCTCCTCCTGCCTCTCAGCATCCAGCAGGACACGCACCAAAACACCTCAAACCTTCCAGTAAATTCAAAAGATGATGTAGAGTGTGCCACCAGAAAACCCCCGTAATCTGCTGTATGTGTGACATGCCTCTTTGCTTCCTTTGAAGCGAGTTAAAGGCTCTTTCACACGGGATGCGGCGAGTGGTGGAATCGCCGCGCAATTACACACACATGCGTGCACACACACACACACACAAATCTGGTTTCCTATCCTTGTGGGGACTCTCCATAGACGTAATGGATTTTATACTGTAAAAACTGTATTTTCTATCGCCCTACTACACCAACCCTACAGATAAAACTACCCTCACAGGAAACTTTCTGCATTTTTACGTTCTAAAAAAAAAAACTTATTGTGTGTGATTTATAAGCTTGTTTCCCCATGGGGAAATGCATTCTTTCTGAATAAAAGTATTAATTAAAATGATTGGACAATTAAATAGTGTAAACATTTTAAAAAAATGTTACATACATTTCTGTATACATCACTGTTTCCATAAAATTATTAATTAGCAAAACTGATTTATATTGTATCTGTATCATTATATTATATTTGAACGACTGTGTGTGTGCGCGTATATATATATATATATATATATATATATATATATATATATATATATATATATATATATATATATATATATATATATATATATATATATATATATATATATATATATATATATATATATATATATATATATATATATATATATATATATATAAATTGTTCACAATATTACTGATTTGCTGTTTTTTGATCCGATAAATTCAACCTTAGTGAGCCAGAAGAGACTTCTTTAAAAAAACATTATAAAATCGTACCAAATACAAACTTTTGAAAGGTAGTTTCTATTTTATCACGCGCAAAAAAAAAGTATTGTTTGGACATTTTGTACGTATTTAAATTTTTACCTGGCAAACCAACTCGTGCACTCACAAACTCCCACGCTCTTGATTTTTTATTTATGTCTCTGTATGAGATTTTAGATGGGTCATACAGTTCAGGGAAATCCATCACACTTAAAACAATCTTCTCCATGGCTGTGTCCGAAATCGCCCCTTATACCCTCATTCACTATTCCCTACATTAGGTCACTAATTCAGTTCACTAGAAGGAGTGAATGAAAACGAGTGAGTGAATTCGGACACTGAGTGCACCGGAAGGAATGCCGCTTTTGCATAGTTGGTGCTTGCTGTTTATTAATCATTTGAAACTAGCACACTAGCAGCTCCAGTAGTAAGATTAAAGGATTTATCTTGAACTCTGTCACGGAAATTATGTATAAACCCTAATCAAACAATTTAATAATCAATTTACAATGAATTTATACCTTTATACATTATGCTGTACGCCATGGATGAGAGCTTTGTTTTGCTTTACTTTAAAAGAGTGCTGTTTAAACTGTCTTAAGTGCTTCATTAGTATGCTCAAATTATTTTGATGTGCTAAAAAACATGAAATGTGACTGTGTTTGTGCAGTCAAGTGTGAGACCGAAAATGTTATTTTAATTTCTTAAGACATCCTAGCTTCTTAGAAATCGATTTGCATTAAAAACTTAGAAACACATAAATGATTGTAGACCTTTTCTTGCAAGAAAATAAATCTTCAAAAGACTTTTATCTCATACCTTCATTGAAATGGGAAATTGCCGCAACACGTCATAATGGCTTTCATAGCAACTGTGGGCTATAAGGGCCCTTCTTATAAATGAGTCTAAAACAATAAACATATCATATCCAATGTTGCTCAATGTTTAATTACAGCTTCAGATGCATGATGTTTCCATTTGCTACAAGTAGAATACAAAAGAAGTGCGTTCAATGCAGCCATACAAGTGGTAGTCCTAGGTACCACAATAACTGTTCATGTGTCCATGGATTTTTTTTAAAATGTAGGGGGCCCTTGGTTTTGTGAGGCCCCAAGATGGTCGCCTACCTTTGCCTAATGGGTAAGTCCACCTCTGATAGTCACAGTTACTGAATTAAAAATCATAAATGGCAATTTCCATAACACTGGGAAGTTTTATCTGAAAGAAAAAGAAAAGCATTTGCAGCCATTTTATTCTGATGGCAAGTAGCAAGTTAATTTATAAAATGTGTGGCCCATTCTACAGAACTGGTGCAAACTGCTGACCCACAACCAAAAAAATAAACAAATTTAAAAAGAATTTAAGTAATTAAACCTTAGATGTTTATTAAGATATTTCTATTATCTATTGAGACCCACAATAATATTTAAAATATTAGTAAGCTTAGTATATTAAAAATTCATAATTTATTGGGTACTTTCAATTGGGTACCCAATTCAATTGTCTCGAACCCTAATCCCTAAATTTCAATTTATGAAAATGATATCTAAATAACTTTTGTATTTTTTACACTGTAGTTTTTAAAAGTATCTTTTTGATCCTTTTAAAAAGTGAAGTTCCAATTAAAAAAAAATTTAATTTTTTTTTGTAAATGATGAAACTTTATGTAAAAAAAAGTGTCCCGCATTTTTCATGTCACTACCAAAACAGTGTATGTTTTAGTTAATTGGCCGAGACTGATTTTAACCACAAATATTCCAGTGTCCCTCTCTCTCATAGCTACAAGGTGTGAGTAGATAGGTCTCATCATTTTGAGGTAAATGTGTTCAAAAGTCTGAGTAACTTTAAGGAACGTCACTACCTAACACCTTTTTTCTGCAATTAAACACACTTTTTTGGAAGTTATTCCACAACATTTCGTTTTTATATGTATGCCACTGTTCAGAACTGTGCTAGCTAATCATGTGCTGATTAGCATCATTGAGCTAGATTCCAAAGTATCTAAAATTGTCACTACCGAAACGGTCACTACCAAAACATTTGGTGGAGTTTCGGTAGTGACATCTTTGTTTTTTTTATGGTTTGTTTTTTTAGGTGTTATCCCATAGAATTGTCACTACCAAAACAGTCACTACTGAAACATGCCATCAATGTTTCAGTAGTGACAAAAGGGAACACATAATCCTCATATTTGGAGGAAATAAACAAAACAGTACAATTTTATATTTTAGTGTTTTAGTATGCGAAAATCTGTAATATGATGTGGTTGCTACCAAAGCATTACGGTCACTACCAAAACGTGGGATGTTTTGTCAAAAATAAAGTATATACTGAATTATCAACTAAGATGCTATGATAGTTTTTGGTTCAATGTATATTCAAACCAATGAATCCTTAACTTTGTAAAAGGCAAAAGGTTCATCATACTGATTTCAAAGAAAAATTGGATTCAAAATACAACAAATCTCAAATTACACTTGAAATATTGTTAAAAGTGTAATTGCATTAATATATATACAATCTAGATGCAAGCAAAATCTTAATAGGTCAATATAACCCTTCTAATTAAATTATTATTACTAGTTTCGGTAGTGACAAATTTGGCAAAAGGACAAATATTCCAAAACTATCTGAAAATACAATATGAGAATTAACTGCACACTTACTAGAAATTTGTACCTGGCATATTAAACAATTTGCATATATACACATTTTTTGGGAAAGTACCTTTTTTTAAGACGTTTCCAACTCTGACTTTGGACCAATTCTGTAGAATGGCCCATATAAAATTGATAAATAAAAATTATTTAGAAAAGCATATCGCTTTAAACTAAATCCAATAATATCAAGAAAGACCCCTAAAAAGCGCATAATATTAGAAGATTATGACTTCCATGACATGATCTCTAGCCAATCAAAAACAGGTTTGCCTTTTCAAGCATCTCCTCTGTTTGTGCTTCAAATATTTTCCCTTATCATTTATAATATTTAGGACTTTTATGGACTTGTTGTTGAAAGTGAATGTAATGCCATTACAGCCTTTTCAAGGACCCACAGGCACCCTACTTTCTCCAGCCTGAGTGCACAGGTGCTCCTTTCTCTAAACCTCTTACCCCATTCAGAACACTGCAATTTCTTGCCAGAATAAGTTTGCAAATAACTCTTCAGATCTATTTGATATGGGAAACTCACACTATACATACTCGAATAGGCCTCTCTGTGGTGTGAACTCTCATGTGGGTATAAAGGGTTGTTTTCTGTCTGAAACTCTTTCCACATTGTTCACATGTGAAAGGCTTCTCTCCAGTGTGAATTCTCATGTGAGTCTTGAGGTTTGCTTTTTTTGTGAGAGTCTTTCCACAGTGGTGACACATAAACGGCTCCTGTCCCATGTGAGTTATTATGTGGCTCTTAAAGTGTTTCCTGTCTGTGAATGTACTTCCACACTGAGGGCATATAAAACAGCTCTCACTTGAGTGAATCTCCATGTGCTTACTAAGGCCTTCCTTACGTACGAAACATTTTCCACACTGATCACACGCGAAAGGCTTCTCTCCAGTGTGAACTCTCATGTGAGCCGTAAGATTTCCTTTTCGATTCACAGTTTTTCCACACAGTTTGCAGGTGTAAGGCTTCTCTCCAGTGTGAATTCTCCTGTGAGTATAAAAGGTTGCTTTATGTGGGAAACGTTTTCCACATTGACCACATACAAATGGCTTCTCTCCAGTGTGAATTCTCATGTGAATCCTAAGATTATCTTTTCGTGGGAAGCCCTTTCCACACTGGTGGCAGTTAAAAGGCTTCTCTCCAGTGTGAATTCTCATATGGATTTTAAGGTTTTCTCTTTTTTTTAAACTCTTTCCACAATGTTGGCAAGTAAAATGACTCAGAGTTCCGGTGTTCTGAGCTCCTTTTTGAGAGGAAGTCTTTACAGTCTGTGAACAACAAAAAGACATTTCTCCAGTAATGAAATCATGTTTTTCATGCAGATCTTTCTCTTCCGTTTCATTCAGATCTTGACTCTCCTCTTTCAGCGCCATCAGGTCTAAAGCAAAAAAAGACAAATACAACGTTAAGCCCAGTTTAATGGCATAAAGCAATGGACATCAAAACATTTAGACATTTAAAGCATCAAAACCAACAACTCCGCTGTAAGCAGAGATAACGGGCTCAAGTACAACAGGGCCATTGTAACAAATGGGGCGCACATGCATTTAAGTGAGTAAAATAAAGGAGGACAAAGTCTGTTGTATGTGCTACACTTCCTGCTGCCAGCTGGTGACGACCGCCTCATTAGGCACATCCATGCCCCCTGACCATCCTATTTCAAAAGTCTGTTGTATGACACAGTTCCTGCTACCAGCTGGTGGCACTGTGACCATGACTCACAATAATAACATACATGCGCAACTTTCATTCCCATTTTTCACTACAAAATTGATCGGGGTCATTCCGTGTCAAATCAACCAAATTTCAGAAACTTCCTCGGCTCAAATTGTTGATTCTGCTAATATTTTTTTCTCAAGAAAGATAAACATGTTTAGTAATAAAAGCCAAAATATTAAATGTCATGGATGTATATTTACTGAGTAATCCACAGTTTTTTAGAGGGAGGTCAAAATTGCAATTTTCACCTGACATTTATAGCCAAATTACAAAAGACTTTAGAAGGATGGCAGCATCATTATTTTATTTTTACACAGATTGGTAGGTCTTTTAGTAAAATCTGTTGTATTTAGCAATTCTTGAAGCATTCTATGTCAATGGGGACACTTCAAAATTGGGAAAAAGCACATTCTGAGCTTTCCCCCCCAAAGTTTGCATGTCTGTAACTCAAGAAGTATTAACAATATCTCAATATCCTTTTGGATTCTGGTTCTAAACATACTTTTCCTTTGGTATCTACCTTTGTAAGGCCATGTCTTGACTATTTCCAGAAATATTAGAATCTCAATATGGCTCCATGAATAAAATGTTAAATTGTACACTTTTTCAGTGGTCAAAAACCAAATGTGGGTCAATTAGCATTTAGCTGATACTTTCTTCTTTTCAAGAGGAATACCTGAACAACAAATAATGTTAAAACTAGAGATGTATCTATGTTTCATTCTATCAAAATAATTGCATCGAACATACCTGTCTGAGTGGCGAAAACATTGTCTTTCCAAAGTTTGTGTGGCTGTAACTCAGAAAGTATTAAATATATATATATATAAATATCCTTTTAGATATTTATATCCTAAAGCTTTTCTTTTGGTATATTAATTTTTAAGGCCAGATACAGTCCCAGAGATAGGGGGATCCCAATGCAGCACCATTGGATGAATTTGAACCATTTACCATATTTAACCATATTTAAATAGAAATGTTTGAAGAACAAATAATGTTGAAATTACAAATTAATCTTTTTTTTCCTTCTATCAAAACAGCTACATTAAACATACTAATTTGAACAATGTCTCTACCAAAAATACTCTGAAATTGCCAAGCTGGGACACATTAACTTGCTCTCAATAGTTAAGATTAGATAAGATTCTAAATTTTAATCAGTTTCAAAGAAAATTGGAGAATTGATTTTGTTATTTTTAACTGCTGCTTTTTTAACTGCTTCTGCAGCTACCAGGAATTAACTAAGCTAGCAGAGCTCATGCCTCTTATGACAGTCCACATGCTGTTCAATAAAGCTCAATAAAAGCAATGAAGTTCAGCTGCAGCATTGGAATACATTTGGGTAAAAAAAAAAAAAAGGAGTGTCACAGCAAAAGTTTTAGCAGAAAATGTGGACTGAAAACTTTCTGATCTTCCTTAATTGATCGTGAGCTGATTCTGCGAAGGACATTTACAAAACCTGACTCCACAACAAAATTATGTTTGCATCATGAAAAGGTATTTCTTCTGCAAATACTCCTTTCTGCAAAAGGTCTTCTGTGACCCTTTCAGTCTCCACCCAGAGAGCTCCAGAATGAAATCCCTACGAACCATTGATCTCCAAACACCTGACCACATCAGCACCAACACAGGGAAAATAATACATCCAGGGCAGAAGTTGTGTGTCACGTGTGAGACACAGCACTCAGGACCAACTACCCTCCACAGCGGAAAAATCAGACGTGGATATTGTTGAAATGGCTGCATCTTGCAGAGACTCAAAGAACATTCTGTAGATGCAGTTAATAATGTTCTCACTAATGAAGGATTTTCACCTCTCAAATGAAAAAACATAAGTAGGAGAGATTTAGTAGGCTACGGAAAAAGAAAGGCTGTAGAGGCTAAGTGCAGTCTGTTCGCAGGTGGCCACAAGCGTTAACATTTCTCCAGCTCTCCTGGAGGTGAAGGAAACAAGTATATATGAGAATTGTACAAATTTTGATCAGATGATTGCTGCCTTAAGGATAAGGTGATGCACACATGCCACATTGAGAGGAAACTTGAGCTCCTGACATTAGCCCTACCAAGCTGGACCACTGAGAGAATAGCAACAGAATTCAGCGTTCCAACTTACCTGGTAAAGAAGGCAAGATCTCTCCAAAAGTGTGCCGGGGTGTTGGCTGAGTTTGACATGAAAAAGGACAGGAAGATGAGTCTGGAAACTGTGAACAAGGTCATTGCCTTTTATGAAAGTGATGAGAATGTGCCCTGGAAAAAAGGAGTTCAAATCTGTAAAAGATGAAAGTGGCACAAAAATCCAAAAACAGAAAAGACTTCTGCTTGTGAATTTAAGAGAATTGTATAGTGAGTTCAAAAACAAAGAGCCTGGTTGCAAAATTGGGTTTTCCAAGTTTTGTGAGCTACGTCGTCCATGGTGTGTAACTATTGGAGCAAGAACAACACATACAGTGTGTGTGTGTGTGTGTGTGTGTGAGATCCATCAAAATTTGAAACTTCTGATAGCTGTCACCCCTGGTGTTAGGGGCTACAAGGAAGCCATGACAGCTATGCTATGTGATATGAAGAATAGGGAGTGCATGATACACAGATGTAGTCAATGTCCAGGCAGGAATACTTTCAGTGATCATGTGATGACTAAATTCAAGGAAGACAACATGTCTGATGAGGACGTAGTCAGCTTTAACCAGTGGACCCACTTGGAGAAAGGCTGCACATTAATAAACCGGATGGAAAGTGTGCCAGACTTTGTAGAGGAGCTTACAAGACAAATGGACAACTTGACAGCACATATCTTTATAGCCAAGTCACAAGCAGCATTCCTCTCAACATGCAAAGCATCGCTAACAGCAGACACCGCACTAGTACTCTTGGACTTTGCTGAAAATTATCCATTCATTGTTCAGGATGCAGTTCAAGGACATCACTGGGAAAACACCCAAGCAACAATTCATCCCTTTGCATTGTAACATTTGAAGGATGATGCAATCAATGGTGAGCGACAGCTTCTGCATTATAATTGACTACATGAAACATGATTCAGTTGCTGTACACTCATTTCTCTCGGTAATCATCAGGTAATTTTAGTTTCTGTGGTTAACATATGAATAAATAAGCTTTCCATTGATGAATGGTTTGTTAGGAAAGGACAATATTTGGCTGAGATACAACTATGAAAATCTGGAATCTGAGGGTGCAAAACAGACAAAATTGAGAAAATCGCCTTTAAAGTTGTCCAAATGAAGATCTTAGCAATGCATATTACTAATCAAAAATTAAGTTGTGCTATATTTATGGTTGGAAATCTACAAAATATCTTAATGGAACATGATCTTCACTTAATATCCTAATGATTTTTGGTATAAAAGAAAAATGGATAATTTTGACCCATACAATGTATTTTTGGCTATTGCTACAAATACACCCATGCTACTTAAAGGTCCCATGGCATGAAAATTTCACTTTATGAGGTTTTAACATTAATATGAGCCTGCCCTAGCCTGCCTATGGTCCCACAGTGGCTAGAAATGGCGATAGGTGTAAACCGAGCCCTGGGTATCCTGCTTCGCCTTTGAGAAAATGAAAGCTCAGATGGCCCAATCTGGAATCTTCCCTTTATGTTGTCATACGGGGAAAGGTTACCTCCCCTTTCTCTGCTTTACCCGCCCAGAGAATTTGGCCCGCCCATGAGAAAATAAGCTACTACCGTGCGAGGCGAGCGCAATATATTTTTTTTCCTCGAGAGGCATCATGGCTTGCAAAGGAGCGAAGCATGGCAGTTGCCCCACCTCTATCCTCCTCATTAGCGTTTAAAGCTACAGACACAGAAATGGCACGTCCTAAGGAAAGCTCATTGTGGGACTGGCTCGTAGTGGCTGAAATTCTGCACCAAGGCTGAATTTCGGGAAAGAGACTTAAGATACAGTACTAGGGACCCCTTAGGCCTATATAAAAGCATCTAAGAAGCAGCATGTCATGGGACCTTTAAACTTTTCCACAACATTCTAATTTATTGAGATGCACCTGTATATGCTGTTCCGCTTCCACTTTTTTTTAATGCTTGCATTAATATACCTACTTATTAAATATAAGCACATATGAACAATTTAGTAAATTTGCTCTGTTGATTCCTTTTTGTAAATAAATACTTCTTTGTTTTCAGCCATCTCAGAAAGATTTTACCAGGCATCATAAGGGTCAAATATTTCAGTGATAGAGCAGCAAGCCAGTATAAGAATTTTAAAAATATTGAGTACCTCATGCACCACGAAGCAGACTTCAACCTTTCTGCAGAATGGCATTTCTTTGCCACAAGTCAACATCAAACATATTAAAAAAAACTATCATCTTCAAATATCTTGGCATCATGGTGACCAAGTTTGATGACGATTACATGGATCACCTAGAAGGAGTGCATGCACTATTTAAATACAAAATAGCCAACTTCTGTTGGGTGAAGGTAATAACTGTAATGTTGAAAGTTGTCGGGCTTGATAAGAACAGTACATGTACATAGTTTGGTGACTAATACTGACCTCAGTACTTCAATCAAAAGGGGGCACGACATCCCCACTCAACATCTATGTATTAGACTTTACCTACACCTAATGGCTGACAACTCTGATGTGCATGCAGAATTTCATGAGATTTTAAACGTTAAGAGCATCAAAACATCTAATTGTAGATGTGAAAGCTGTTTATATCATTGAGAGCAATACAAGTTTTATACAAATAAATATGAGTTTTTAAACATGTAAAGGGCCCCAAATGCTCCCAAAAACATAATAATCCTTAAAAGAACAATAGGGCTCTGAGGCCAATGGGTAAAATTGGTTCAGAATAAGTACAGCACTCATTATCACAGGCAATAAAATCCAAGCACATTGAAGTTAAAAAGTACCTTTCATCGCAGCTACATTTATCATCTACTGCTATTAGCTACATCAACATAGACCATGACATTCTCTGATTATGTTGGCATTTGTGCACAAGCATTAGCACGGTTTAGGTCCTATCGATCCGACCACTGTTACTCATGTCTCTTTATTTACTCAAAGTATGGAGTGCCACAAGGCTCAATATTAGGTCCTCTGCTTTTCTCCTTGTATATGTTCCCCCTGAGGGACAATAATTTTTTTCACTTTTATGCCGTTTATATCTTAACCTGAAAACACTGAACAACCTAACCAGTTAATGAAGTGTATCATTGATATTAGGGCTGCATCAATTAGTTAATAAAATAAACAATAAAAATAATAACCAATAATGAATATAAATCACCAACAATATTTTACTTATAGTATAAAAATGTTTAATGCTCTATATCTCTGAATTAAAATTAACTGAATGGGATATACACTAATGTTATTATTTTTAAATGTTATTTTCTTTTTGAACTGCTCCCCCTTTCCAGCCATACAAATAGTCAGACTTCACCTGCAATTGCCTACAAGTTGGTCTGTGTAAAATTTAAATGAAACAAAAGACAACATCTATGTGGACAAATACATTTTGGTATGACTTTCAAATGTAAAAAAAAATAAATAAATTGAGATGTACTTCACTGATTATGGTGCTTAAGCTGTTTAAATGTCACAACCATGAAGCCTCGTGTCACTTGGAATCTGTTGTGGAGCAAACTTACTAGTTTGTTTTATGCACTGTTCTTAAAGGCCTATAGGTATGCTTGGACTGCTGGGGGAAAAAAATTAAATCTATTTAAAAAAATAAAAATAATGATTATGTAGAAAAGTCATCTTAGGGTAGTGTTTTCATCTTAGTTTTTCACTTAGAAACAATTACACAGTTTGATTTAAAGCATCTATTGTTTTGCAGTTTCTTATAAAGTTACTTAAGTGGTTTTTTTCTCACCACAGCCCATTAAATGAAGAACAAATATAGACAGCATGCCGTAACTGCTGTAAAAGCTATGTCAATGGTCCAAATGTTTTATTATTTTGTTACTAGGCTGATGTTAATGACATTTGACTTATTGCTTGATTCATCCTTTACTGTTGTGTATAGTTATCGAATGTGTGACATGTCAAATAAAACCATTTTCCAAATAAAATACATTCTTTAATATCATTCATTTCTGTAGAGCTGGACATTTTAAAAAGGATCAAATGAGTGAGTTCAGCTTTGAGAATGAAAACCAACCTGTTTGTTCCTCAGTATCTTCATGTTTGACTCTGAATGCTTCTTCAATCTTCATGTCTTCACTCTCCTCTTTAACAAATGCCATCTTTATAATAGCGTGTCACATGGATCTTAATTTCTTCAGCAGGAACCTTTCTGTGTATTTGGACACTGTTCTGTTCAAGACGAGAATAATTAACAAAAAGAAAAATTAATTAAAACGAAATCTCTGGGTGTCTCAATAAGCTCCCAAGCTCAGTAATCAGTGCAATGGTAAGGCAGTCAGTCTGCGGTGCACTTCCCAGAAGCAACTATGGTCGCAAGTTCCGTGTTTATTAATCAATTCAATGGAACTAACGATGGTTTTTGGAAACGCACCCCAGACTGAGTTAATAACCTTAAATCAACCTGGGAAGTATTTCCCAAAAGCAACTATGCTTTGGCTATGGTCGCTAGTTTCATTTCAAGCATTTGATGTTCTTGTTGTTTTAAGCAGCGGCTGTAGTCGGAGTGTGGAGATTCAAGCACTTAATCGAAAGTTGCTGTGTTCGAAATTTCATATAATCACACTACTCTTACTATTTCTGCAGTATCCAGTATGTATTCAATAGCTTTCAGTCACGTGACCGGCTCAAAGACCTGGAGGGCAAAACATCCATAGTACTGCAGCACAAGCCTGTCAATTTTCCATCTGTTTCTAAGCCGCAAATATTTAGGTCACCTCTCAAAAGAATAAAACAAAGATATGCGAACAAAATGCAAGGTTTGGCTATTTGCAATCCATATTATGTACCCACCGCAATATTTCAATCCATAAACAGTGTGACAAATCGCTGTGAAAACACTTAAAGTGCCTTAATGTATTTAAAACCGTGATATTAAAAGAACAAATTCAGTACACACCTTATTGATTATGCTTACTTCATATAGGCAGGCAGATGAGCCCGGAATATGAACATGATGCGCTAAATGGTTCCGTGTTTTCTTTATAATGGATTTCTATGGGAAACCATTCAATGTGAAACTTTGCGCATTGCATTTATATTCTGAGATCATCTGCTTGCCTGTACAAAGTATACATCATCAGTAAGGTGTGTACAGAATTTTGCCTTTTAATATCAGCGTTTTAATACATTACTACTGCAAACTGCGTAAAAATAACTGGTGGTCAGTGGCGCAAAGCCTTGTTTTGCCCTCCAGGTGGGCGTTCCCTATAAGGGTGTGATGTCATGCGAAAACTATCAATACTGTGCATATTTTCTGTATGCATTGATTACCTGAATAACCTACTACATTTGGCAGACTCTGCTAGATATAACTCAAGTACAATGTAATCAGTACAGAAGCTGTGTTTGGAATGGCATGCTACTATACAAGTGCATCCAGAAAGTATTCACAGCGCTTCAATTTTTGCACATTTTGCTATGTTACAGCCTTATTCCAAAATGGATTAAATTAATTATTTTCCTCAAAATTCTACAAACAACACCCCATGACAACATGAAAGAAGTTTGTTTGAAATCTTTGCAAATTTATAAAAAAAAATTACTTTAGCCTTTGCCATTAGACTCAAAATTGAGCTAAGGTGCATCATGTTTCCACTGATCATTCTTCAGATGTTTCTTCAACTTGATTGCAGTCCACCTGTGGTAAATTCAGTTGATTGAACGTGATTTGGAAAGGCACACACCGGTTTATATAAGGTCCCATAGTTAACAGTGCATGTCAGAGCACCCTGTATGCATTGATTACCTGAATAACCTACTACATTTGGCAGACTCTGCTAGATATAACTCAAGTACAATGTAATCAGTACAGAAGCTGTGTTTGGAATGGCATGCTACTATACAAGTGCATCCAGAAAGTATTCACAGCGCTTCAATTTTTGCACATTTTGCTATGTTACAGCCTTATTCCAAAATGGATTAAATTAATTATTTTCCTCAAAATTCTACAAACAACACCCCATGACAACATGAAAGAAGTTTGGTTGAAATCTTTGCAAATTTATAAAAAAAAATTACTTTAGCCTTTGCCATTAGACTCAAAATTGAGCTAAGGTGCATCATGTTTCCACTGATCATTCTTCAGATGTTTCTTCAACTTGATTGCAGTCCACCTGTGGTAAATTCAGTTGATTGAACATGATTTGGAAAGGCACACACCGGTTTATATAAGGTCCCATAGTTAACAGTGCATGTCAGAGCACAAACCAAGCCCTGAAGTCCAAGGAATTGTCCGTAGACCTCCGAGACAGGATTGTATCGAGGCACAGATCTGGGGAAGGGAAAAATTTCTGCAGCATTGAAGGTCCCAATGAGCACAGTGGCCTCCATCATCCATAAATGGAAGTTTGGAACCACCAGTACTCTTCCTAGAGCAGGCCACCTGGCCAAACTGAGCGATCGGAGCAGGGCCTTAATCAGGGAGGTGACCAAGAACCTGATGGTCACTCTGACAGAACTCCAGCGTTTCTCTGTGGAGAGAGGAGAACCTTCCAGAAGAACAACCATCTCTGCAGCACTCCACCAATGAGGCCTGTATGGTAGAGTGGCCAGACGGAAGCCACTCCTCAGTAAAAGACACACACGACAGCCCGCCTGGAGTTTGTCAAAAGGCACCTGAAGGACTCTCAGACCATGAGAAACAAAATTCTCAGGTCTGATGAAACAAAGACTGAACTCTTTGCCCTGAATGGCAAGCGTCATGTCTGGAGGAAACCAGGCACCACAGCCAGCCAGAGCCCAGACTTGGACCCGATTAAACATATCTGGAGATCTGAAAATGGCTGTGCACTGACACTCCCCATCCAACTTGATGGAGCTTGAGTGGTCCTGCAAAGAAGAATGGAAGAAACTGCCCAAAAATAGGTGTGCCAAGCTTGTAGCATCATACTCAAAGACTTGAGGCTGTAATTGGTGCCAAAGGTGCTTCAAAGTAGGGTTGGGTATTGTTTGGTTTTTTTTTCGATACCGGTGCCAAATCGATACTTTTAAAACGGTTTCAGTGCCTGAACCGATACTTATCAAAAAATAAATAAAAATTCCCCCCAAAAATGATGGATTGGCCATTAGAATAGAGTGCGCAAATGTTAGAGGGTAAAGTTTTTTAATTAAAAAAAAAACAAGCAGATCAAATTAGAAGTAGCATTAGAATAGAGAGTGCTAGAGTTAGAGGGTCAAATGAAGATGAAAGAGATGTGTTTTCAGCCATTTCTTGAAAATATTAAAGGACTCAGCTGCTTGGATTGAGCTGGGCAGGTCATTCCACCAGGAGGGAACAGTTAATGTAGAAGACCATGAAAGTTTTATCATAGGTAGAATGCAAAATGTTTCAATACAAGCATTTCAGTCAAATGTAATTTATGCAATATTTCAAAACACTTGATTATACACAATATTAGAATGTTTAAAGGAGTGGACACAAAAATCGCGGGAGCGAAACATGTTGCGGGAGCAGGCGGCAATGGTCAGAGATTCAGTGGGAGTGGGATTAAGAAAACAGCCGAATCCCGGACATTTTGGCAATTAAGAAATCCCGGCCGGACGCATTTTTGTCGGTCCAAAAAGAGGTAATTTATTACTAATCGATGTATTATTTTTAAAGTAGCATATAGAACATATTTTCTGCCTCATTCTGTGACAAGAAGCCTCATCAGATCACAAAAGGAAGCATTTGGACTGGTGTTGTGGAGTAAAAAGGTTATAATTTTCTCTTTTATTGGACAACGGGTTTAGAAATGTGAATAACAAGGGAGGTTTAGCTTTAGGCACTTTAATTCAAGCATGTTTAGCTTAGTTAACGGAAGGCTGCCTGCTGCCATCAGAGCAAGTGTAATTACTGCATTCACGCGCTCCTTGGATGCTCTCATTTCCCGAGTTGTGCTTTTAAGTCAGAATGTGAAAACAACATGGACACTCTCGTTACTACAAAGATGTGTTGGATTTGTATTATTAGAGCTTTCCGACTTGTTCACCTGCATTTTCTCAGTCGTGAAATTATTTTTCACGTGCGGTGCCAGTGATGATGCTTCTTACGTCCGTTTTGGAGAACCAGAGGACAAATTTAAAAAAAAACAGAGGATTCGGTTCTAGTACATACCGGTTACATAAGGGCCTTTTGCATCGCGGGAACCTTTTCATAGTACCAGAACTAATTGTGGAACTACCCACTTTTTGGCGTTTTCGCACCGCCAGAACTGGGTGCGCTTTTAGTGCCGGACTGCCTTTTTCGAGAACCAAATTAGCTCCT